TCCAAACAAGTATCATCATCATCATTTAACCCGGATCTATCCACTGCTGGATATAGGTTTCCCTTAGTCTTTTTTATGTATTTCTGTTTTGTACTGTTTGCATCCAATTTTTGTCGATCCGTCCATCACGACCATGTCATCAGACCATCTTGTTGGTGGACGACCTCTACTTCGATGTGCTTCTTGTCTCGGTCTCCACTGTATTATTAAAGTATAATACAATGTAGTATCAAACAAGTATAGTATCATTAAATAAATTTTCCACAAGAGTGATTTGTCTTACTCTCAGGTAAGACATAATAAGTCATATTCAATTGAATACAAGGTATAATATGAAAATAATACAGGTTCATGCACCAACAACATACCATGATGAAGAAGAAGTGGATCTATTCTACGATAATATCAAAGCTGCTCTTAAAGACCGTCAAGGACATTTTACTTTTATATGTGGTGATTTTAACGCCAAAACAGGAATAAAATCCAACTCTACAGAAACACCACTGAGAACTTTTGGCTTGTATGGTAGAAATGAACGTGGCGAAATACTGTTAAGGCTGATGATGATGTAAAATTAACTATTCCGAATTAATAGTTTTTTCAAAAACAAACTACAGAAAAGATGGACATGGTAAAGTCCAAAACAAAATAGATTTTATTATTGTAGACAAAAAACACACCGTTAAAGACATTACGGTTCTAAACAGATTTGTTACCAGTAGCCATCATAGAATGGTACCAGGTAAAATAGGAATATAACTTTCTAGTTCTCTCGAAGAACTAAAGTAACCGACATCATGGGAAAAATATGACATTGAGATTGGCAATGGGTAGCACATGTAGCAAGACAAGACACAAGAAAGTGACATTCTGGAGACCTCGAGAAACAAAAAGAAGCGTGAGAAGACCTAAAAAGAGATGAACATACGAAATAACTGCTGTAGCTGGAAAGCAGTGGATGAGAATTGCAAAAGATAGGAAGCGTGGAAGCAATTGGAGAAGGCCTATGTCCAACATTGAATAAATGAAGGCTGAAGAGAAGAAGAAAATAGAAATAAGCTTAAAGAAGAAGATGTATAAGATAATTAAAAAGAAGAACAAATTAAAACCATGGATGAAACCACCAGATGTAGATAGTTTTCAGCAATTTATTTCCGACATGCTTAGTAGTCCTAAAACGGAAAATATTATAAACGTCTTAAATAATAAATTAACAAATGTCTTACTAAAAAGTCAAGACAAATTCTGTCCTTAAACTTAAAAGAAGAGAAAATTAGCGAAAATATCAGCTAACTAATGCAGAAAAGAAGAGAAATGAGAAGCGAGAGGGAAACTAAAGCCGACGAACTACAAAAATTAAACAAAGATATATCCAAGGTTGTTAAAAAAAAGTCCCTCTAAAATACAACCAAGAATAAATCGAAAATAATATTGAGAAAAAATCGAAGTATAAAAGTATTGAAAAAAGGACTTAGAACGGGAAAAGGCAGATAATAAAGATTTAAGATATAAATGGTCATCCTACAACCAACAGAGAGGAAACCCTTAAAATATTTGAAGATTTCTACAAATTGCTGTACATAACACAAAGCAAATAGCTTTGTGTTATGGATTACATATGGACGTGTAATTGGTTTAAAATCAAGGATCACGGATCAACTACTACCGGAAATCACAACAGATGAAATTAAACTAGCCCTAAGAAAAGCTAAGAATAACAAATCTCCAGGCGAACAATCTCCCTTTAATTAGTTCTATCGCACGTCCAAGATGAATTTTAAAAAGGCCAACTGGATTGACTTCTCTGTGAATCTAGATATGTCTAGGGTGGATTACACCGAATATCAAAAACTACCACAGATTTGTTGGTGCAGTGGTAAGTGTAGTCAAAAAAAACATACCAAGAGGATATCGTTAAAGAATATGTTCCTGGCTGGTCGGAAAATAGCGAGGAAATATCACAGCTTTCTTGAAACTGGCGACCAAGAAATAGCGGATGAACTACTGTACATCTAGACGCCGCTAGAAGCCAAAAGTGGACCGAAACAGTAGAAAGTCTAAAACTTCCAGAAATCAAGCAGACAGGCATGGTCATTACTAAGAAAATTAGGGAGTGGTGTCCGTACGAAACACCGAGAGGCAGCCGTAAAGCTAGATGCCGTAGGCATCACATATAGTAAAAACATCCAGGACACCAAAGGATAAAGCACACACCATTTATGTAAAGAGAGAACTTAAAACTTTAAAACATGTAGCCACAGAAACGGAGCATTCCCTCCCATTCACCAGCGAAGACATATCAGAGGCTCTTAAATACGTTAAGCCAGCAAAAGCACTAGGATTTGATAATATTCACCCTGAATTTCTACTAAATTGTGGCAAGTAACAAAAATTTGGTTGGCTCGATTTTCACATTCATCATGGAAACTGGAAATATCTCACAACAACTAAAGCGCTCTAAGATAATAGCCATACCAAAGCCAGGCAAACCCGCTGACAACCCAAAAAACTACAGACCAATTGCGCTTCTTTTTGCATCTACAAACTATTAGAGAGGCTTATATATAATAGAATCAGTACAGAACTGTTCCAGGTAATTTTAGTCGAACAAGCGGCTTTTCGACCAGAACGAAGCTGCGCGGACCAGGTAATGTCACTCACCACCTACATCGAAGCGGGTTTCCAAGAAAGACTTAAAACTTCAGCGGCATTTATTGATCTCTCGGCAGCTTACGATACAGTATGGAGAGAGGGCCTTATATAACAAAATTCTCCGTGCAATACCCTGTAAACAAATAGCATGTTTAATAGATAGCATGCTCAACGACCGAATGTTTCAAGTAGTGATGGGCACAGATATTAGCCCACCAAAGAAACTAAAAATGGGCCTACCACAGGGGTCAGTGCTCTCTCCATTACTATTTAGCTTATATTTAGCAGATATGCCAGAAATACAATCAAGAAAGTTCGGATACGCCGATGACTGGCCCTCACTACACAATGCAGAAACACTAGAAACATCTGAAGAAGTTCTGACGGCAGACTTATATATATATATTGAGCAAATATTTTCGCAAGTGGCGGCTTCACCAAATGCATCCAAAACAGAAGTAAGTTGCTTTCACCTGAAAAATAAACTTGCTGGAAAGAAACTCAACATACGGTTTGAAAATACCACACTTTCCCACAACAAAACACCGAAGTACCTGGGCGTAACACTAGACAGAACGCTATCATTTAAAGAGCATTTAACAAAAACTGCCCAAAAGTTGAGTACCTGGGCGTAACACTAGACAGAACGCTATCATTTAAAGAGCATTTAACAAAAAACTGCCAAAAGTTGAGTACAAGAATAACATTATACAGAAGCTCTGCGGTAACACCTGGAAGCATCGGCTTTCACTCTCCGCTCTACTGCTTTAGCCCTTTTTTTTTTTGACGGCTGAATATTGTGCCCCAGTTTGGCTACACATTCTACATGTAAAAAAAGTTAACACTCAGCTGCACAGCACTATGAGGATATAGCTGGTACAATTAAATCAACTCCCACCCAAAGGCTTCCAGTACTAAGTCACATTCGACCTCCACATTTACGACGAGTTGACGCCCTACACGTGAATACAAAAAGATCATGAACAATATAAACCTGCCTATCCACCAAGATATCGAGAATCCACGAAATACCCGTCTACGTTCTAGAAAACCACCAATGAAAAACGACAAGAATGATACATGAGGAGTTCAACATCATGAATGCATGGTCCCAAGAGGGAATGCATGCAAAGTAACATGCCCTGCATTACCCACAAGCCACCAGGTTTGATCTTTCACGTAAAACATGGTCCACTCTAAACAGGAGCCGAACCAGACATGGCAGATGTGCATATATGCTACATAAATGGGGAAAGAATCCGTCTCCTCAATGTGACTGTGAAAAGAACCAAACGATCGATCACATTATTGAAGAGTGTTCCTCAAGATCCTAGCCCTGAAGACTTCCTGTTTGCAACTTCAGAGTCAATTGATTATGTTAATACTCTTGATGTTTGTTTGTAACTATTTAAAGTTTGTCATATACCTATATTACTAGTGTTTGTAATTTTGTTCTAAATGTGTTGTAATTGCCATACGATAAATAAATATAGGCGAAGATTGTGTAGTTAATAATGCAATCAAAATCGAAGGCACTTGCCTACTTAAGAAAATAAAAACCTTTTAAACATGTGCCTTTTGGACAGTAATACACCTGACAAATGGCACAATGCTTAAGTAATTCCATTGTAAAAAAAAACGAAATCGCCATGAATTAGAAAACTACAGACCTATAAGTCTTCTTAGTCACCTATACAAACTCGTTTACAAGAATAGTAAAGAATCGTCTTGAGAAAGCAGTAAAAGCATGCCGCACTGACTACCGATATATAAGGTTAATTTACAATATATACAAGAACGCAACTTTGTGAAACTACGTAAAAACACGGAATATATCCAAATTGGCAGAGGAGTCTGACAGTGTGATACCTTATCGCCTAAACTGTTTATTCTTGTAAAAACCTTAACTGAGAAAAGAAAGGCTAAACATTAATGGTAAAAGATAAACAAATTTAAAATTCGCAGTGTGGGTCTTATCAGAAATATCAACCTTTGAAAACCATTACGAATCATATTTTAGTATCGATCATTAATTTTTCTATTTTTTTACTATCTTTTATTGACAGATATTAAAATTATCTTTCTTATTTTAATTTAAGTCTGCTTAGAGTAAATATATAATGACTAGCAACGAATTGATAGATTATAGTGAATCAATGTGAAGAACTCCTATTTTGTGACACCGTGACGACGCCATATTGTGACGGTAGTCCCTCGACTCTCCCTTTAGCATTTCACTATAGAGTGAAATCTTTGTTTTAAAATTTTACATTCAATTAGACGAGGATAGTATTTATCCTCAGCTGCATTTGCTCTTTTCAAAATATTAAACTTGTTGTGTGTTTTAGCTTCAACAGCAACACCAAACACCATTCCGAGCAATAGAAACCACGACGGCGCTTCCTAGTCTAACCGTAGCAGCTCAAGTGCACAATCACAGCGGACTGGGTAACGGCACAACCAACGGAAAGGGCATGTTAAAGCAACAGAACTGCGTGGACGCTGGGTACTACGGTACTGCTCAGATAAACCAGTTGAATCAACAAGAGAGCGACAAAGGTTTGCAGGAGGAGCAGTTTTTAGAAACAGAGGAAGTCATAGATGAATACATTGAGGAAGAGACTGAAGATAGCATTAGTTACGGTAGGTGTTGTAGTTTTTTCCTTATATTGGGGTTAATACAGGTCTTAATATAACCACTTTAGTGGCACTTTTCTCATTTGTGTACATGTTCGCTATAGTATTGATGTATGCATTACTCAAGCCTTCCGTTGCCAATATTTAAAACATTTTTATGGAACAGGTATGGAGCTTGTAGCATAGGCCTTTTCTTACTGAACGACCACTAACTGAATCGGTGAAGTTCTGGCTGTTATCCTCTCTATAATTTGTTAAAGAACAGATATATTATAACACAAGATCTGCCATCACGTAATCCACTCTAATCTTCTATTTTTGGTATTGGTTTTCGATTCGTTTTTTATCAATCGACCTTATAACTTCCCCAATGAGCTAATAACACTTATACCTCTTACATTTATTTTTTTCTCCTTTTTTTGTGAATAGAGCTTATACAAGCCAGCTTCAATCTTGGAATATTGTTTTTATTTGAGTCTTTTTTTTAATATGATATTCTTCTTCTCCCAATTCCTCGCTTTTTGAATACTTTGTCTTGAAGGATTATTTTCAGTTTTTTGTATTTAGTGCCGTCTCTTATTATATGTCCGAAATGTTCTAACTTTCTCCTTTTAACAGTATACATCACTTCTCTTTCTTTTCCCAATCTTCGTAGTATCGTCTCGTTTGGTTATCTTATACGTCCATGATATCCTTAGGATTCGTCTTTATAGCCACGTCTAGAAGGTTTCAAGTTTTTTCTCCATTGCTTCAGTGAGTGTCCAGGATTCACCCCGTACTATAATATCGAGTAGATATAACATCGTAGAAGCCTTACTTTTATTTGCAGATTAAAGTTGTGGCTGTTAAGTGTTGGACCATGTTGCTGAATGCACTTCTAGCCTTCTCTATTCTACATTTTACTTCTTGTGAGTGATCCCATTTTTCGTTTATTATTGTTCCAAGTACTGTAAACAGTTTTATTTGGTCTACTGGTGTGTTTTTAATAGTATGAAAAGATAATTTAATATATTAAATATCTTCTTTTACAATTCTATTAGTATTGATGATCCGAGCTTTCCTAATTCAATGGGAATATTTCCAGGTCTTGTGGCTTTTCCCATTTTGATTTCCTTAAGGTTAATCTTATCTTGACCACTTTGATTGGTTGTACTTTGTCTTCGTCTATTGGATTTTTTCTAAAGTCTCTGGAATTCATTTCACAATATGGTCTTTCTTTTGTCAGTAGGCATTTGTAATATTCTTTACACCCTGGCATACTTATGGCTTTTAATCTACTTATTAATTGTGATCTTTTCTGAGATTTTTCTATAAACTTCCATGACTCAGATACTCGAATTATATCCATATATTTTTACATTTCTTTACATTTTTCGTTCTACTTTTTGTTTTTTTCATTTGGTCACATTTTTCATAACTTCCCTAAACCAGTAAGTGTATGTTCTCCAGTATTCTGAGTTTTGTGTTTGGTATCTACCAACTCTCTTATTTCTTATAACTACCACTTCGGATCCTTGTTTCGCACATTTTCCTATACCCTATGGCCTCTTGTTTGTTTGTATTATTAATGAATTTATTGATATTATTGATTAATAATTTCTAGCACTAGTATATCGAGAATTATCTCTCGGTTGACCTCACAGCAAACATCAATCCTTATCAGTATCTCTTACTTTCCTCCTCATCAGTGTTTAATCTCTACGATAGTACAACTTGGTCATCTCGCATGCTAACACATGTAAGCACATGCTACCTATAGACTTGTTCTGTCCACGCGCATTATGAGACCCTCGCAGGTCAGTATTTCTACTGCTCCACACTAGACTCCAGTGTCTCTCTCTGCGCTACCTCGCAGATAATCTTACTCCTATGATGAAGAGTAACTCTTAGATTCTTGACGTACTTTCTCTCTAGCGCCTCTCAGGCACGATTTATTTTTCTCAAACCTAACCTAACATACGGTTAGGACTAGATTATTGTTTTGTAGAGTTTCCTTCTTCTAAATGTGCCTATTTTTTAGAGATATTAGCGACCATATTGACCCATCTTATTCTATTCACTTCTTCTTAAGGTACCTTCTCCATTACTGAAGGTTGGTCATAACTACAGCAAATTGCTCTCTATTTTCAGCTGTTCTTAGTATCGAATATGTGTCCATACCTGTTCAGTATCTTACATTCTTCAACCAGAAGCATTTTCTTCTTCCTGCATCTCTTCTTTGTTTAAATTTGAATTGTTTTTATTGTAAATTAGGGTGGAAAAAAAAAGACATCGATAGACACAAAATTAGCGTGTGTATTCTCTTGCTAAAAATGTTATATTACATTGTGTACAAAAGAAACAAATGTGAAGGAGATATTATGTCTTCCGACAGTTGACATAAAAATGACAGGCAAACTTTATTTGTTACAATGTTGCCATACATAAAAGTTAAAATATTAAATTGAACATAAATTCCCCCCTTTGAAGAGAATTTTCAAAGTTAAACTAATTTATAAAACTAATACAATATTGTCAACGTCACTATAGTTTTTCATTTTCCAATGGTAGTGGACACAAATGTCTAACAGAACGGGTCACTACACGAGTGGCGGTTTTCACTCTGCTACTCTAGAGATGCCGTCCTTTCCAGGAATTAATTGGAGAATTCGCCCCATAGGCCATTTACATGGCGGCTGCTGATCATTTTTGATTAAAACTAATGTTACAACCTTGACTGATGTAGGTGGATTCTTCCATTTGTATTGTACATGTAGTTGAGAAATATACTCCTGTTTAAATCTTGTCCAAAACTGCTGGTACATATGCTGAAGCTCTTGTGGTTTAGTTAATCGATTCAATAAAACTTCTGATAGGTTAAGGATCCGGAAGGGTAGTTACAGGTCGACCAATAAGAAAATGGGAAGGAGTTATGGGTTCAATATTATTGAGATCATTAGATAGGGCATATAGTGGGCGTGAGTTTAAGATACCCTCAATTTGAACAATTAGAGAATTGAAATCTTCATAAAATAAATTGTTTATTTAACATAATCGTTTTTAGGTGATGCTTTGTACTTTTTACCGCAGCCTCCCAAAGACCTCCAAAGTTAGGTGTGTAAGAATGTATAAAATGCCACCTAATGTTTTTATAAGAGGAATAGTTGTTTATTTGAGTTTGATTAGCATATAAAAAATTGACCTAATTCATTTAACTCATTTCTAGCCCCTATGAAAGTACTTCCATTATCAGAATAAATATCGGATGGTACTCCTCTACCTGAAATAAATCTCCTAAGACAAGATAGAAAACTATCTGTTGTTAAATAAGATACTAGCTCTAAATGAATAGCTTTTGTGCAAAAGCAACAAAAACACAGATATACATTTTAATAAGTTTACATCCTCTACCATTTTTGTCCTTCAGTGAGAATGGTCCAGCATATTCAATACCAGTATATTGAAAGGTAGAGATAGCGTTACTCTATTGTCAGGTAAACTTGACATTGGATAAGAGGCAAATGTCATGCAATTGTTACAAATTATCCATAGGTCGCTGGTTCACATCTGGATCGAAGGACCGATGTTTAAATTTGAATTGTTTTTATTGGAAATTAGGGTGGAAAAAAATAGACATCGATATACACAAAATTAGCGTGTGTATTCTCTTGCTAAAAATGTTATATTACATTGTGTACAAAAGAAACAAATGTGGAAAAGATATGTCTTCCGACAGTTGACATAAAAATGACAGGCAAACTTTATTTGTTACAGTGTTACCATACATAAAAGAAAAAATATTAAATTGAATACTTCTTTCTTCCACTTTCCCTTCCATGATAAGTTCTATTTACAGCAGCTCGAAATAAATAAGTTGACTTTGGATTAGTCCATTTCCTAAGATTGCATTTTAGATTCAACTGTAAAAGTCGGTATTTATTATTACGCTTGACGTGGCCAAAGTAAGCCAATTTTCTGTTCTTTACGGTGTTGATAATTTCTTTGTCTGATCTAAGCTTATGGATAATAGTTATACTACTTGTGTGATGTATATATAAGACCCTTAACATACATCGGTAACACCACATTATGCCTCAAATTTTTTTATGGCATCTTCTGTAAGCTTCTAGTCCTTAGAGGAGGACACTAAAGACGAAACATCTAAGAATTCTTATGCGTATATTGATACTTAAAAATAGGTTGCAGAGAATCTTTCTAAGCTGTTAGAAGATCTTCTGACTTTTTCAATACGAGTTTTTATTTCGTAGCTGTAATCACAAGTATCCTTAATATTGCAGCCCAAATTGCATATCTTTTTCACTGTTTCTAACGGTGTATCGCCTATTGTAATTTGGGCGTTTATGTTGGTGTTCTTACTAATTATCATTATTTTTGTCTTCTTTCAAAAGTTTTAGGCCGTATTTTTTATATGTTTTCTACAACGTTAGTCATCATTCTTTGAAGCCCTGCACACTATCTGCCAGCAACACTGTATCATCTGCATATCTAATATTGTTTATAAGTTGCCCATTTACAGCAATCCATCTTGATTCATCCAAGGCCTCTCTGAAGATGTTTTCAGAGTAAATGTTAAATAATGCCGGTGACTGTGAAAAATCGGACAGTTCATTTCTTATCGTACTATTGCTTTTTGTTGGAGATATAAGTTTAAGATCAATCTTATATCCTTACCATCGAGTCCTGATGTTTTAAGGATATCGATTAGTTAGATATCTGCATACACATCGCAGTTAACATCCCTGGGTCTCTGTATTAGAACTTGCAAACTAAAAAGTACTTCCCTCGTTCCGGGTTCTGCTCTGAATCCAAATTGAACTTCACTTAAGTGTTCTTCTAATTTAGTGTATATACGCGAGTATATAATAGTAAGGGATACTTTAAGTACTTGCATCATCAAATTAATTAATCTATGTTCTTCACATTTTCTAGCGTTGACTTTTTAGGAAGTGGAATGAATATTGATAGTAGCTAGTCTTTTGGTAAATCTCCACTCTCGTAGATATTATTGAATAACTTCGTAAGAGCTGTGATATGGTGTGCCTCTAATTGCTTTAAAATATCACCATGCATCTCGTCGGTCCTGGTGATTTCCCATTTTTAATCCGCTTTATGGGCACAGTTACTTCTTTTTTTGTTATTTCTGCTCAGTAGGGGTTGTTTATTTCAATCGAACTGCGTGCTGCATTTTTGAATAATTCTTACATATATTCTTTTCATCTTTGTAATTTATCTTCAATAGTAGTCAAAATCTGGCCTTCAATGTCTACAACTATGCCTGTATTGCATTGTTTTCTGGTGTTCTCTACCTCTTTATTTTTTTTGTGCATATGGAAATCGTCATGTTTGCGTTGTAGTGTTTCAATTTCTGTACATTTCTCCGTCAGCCATGCTTCTTTTGCTCATTTTATCTCCTGTAGAGTTTTACTTTTGGATTTTTTGATATACTCAAGAGTTGAAAAAGGAAAGTAATCCCAAGAGAGCTCATATTTGTAGTGCAAATTGTGCTGTTTATGTTTTTGGTAGTGCTATTTTTTTTTTAATTTTCGTCGCCTTCTATATTTATTCCGTAGGCTTCGTAAATTTGTATCATCATATCATTGTATTGTCATTGTAACCATTGTTATTTTTAATAGTAAAGATAAACATTTTAGTTAATTTTTTTATATTTTTTTATTAAGTATATTGTACAAATTTTATTGCAGTTAGAGTAGCAGTTAAAATTTTGGCATAGATTGCCATATATCTGTTAATAAATTCCACAAAAATAGAAAATTTGTCATAGGACGACATCGACACCATAATCGAATGTAAGTGCTTCTAAATTTCAGTGTTTAGCTCTGCCAGAAAAACTGAGACTCAGAACCGATGTGTCCGTAAATGGGTTAGCAAATATAACTAATATAATTGTCACTTTGACAAAATAATTAAGACCAAGCCCCAAAAGCGTTTTTTCATGTCGTATATAAAGTCCGATAATATTTAACTTTTTATTGTTACATTTTAGGTCAAAACGCAGTAAATCAAGCAATAAAACACGATTCCCCGTTATCTGTGATACACGTAGAAAACCGAGAAGAAAATGGCAGTAGTGAGCCAATAATAATGCGAAGTAGAGAACCTTCTCAAGCGAGCGTCATTGCTGATCCCTATCATCCGGCAACGGTGGCTGCTATGCAGAGAGCACAAGCCGGTAGCGGTTCCAGAAGATCTTCAGCGGAACAATCTTACCAGGTATGAACTATCAATACATACTTATCAAATTTTTATCGACATTAATAGATTCTATTTTATTTCATACTTATTAACTTGTTTTCATGTAGATAACTTAAATTAACAGTTTTTTACCTGTTTTCCTGTTTATCGACACGATATAAATAAATATAAACAGTCACAAAAAAGAATAAAAATATGGACCAGTTTTGTCCTGGTATAATACCAAAGTACCTATAGTTTAAAAGTAAAACAAGAAGAAGCAGTTTATGTTACAAAATTGATAGAAAAACATTATGATTTAAATTGGAAAAGTTTTGACAGGTTTTAGAACGAGAAAACTTGAAAAACATCTAGCTGCAGATAAGTTCATAAATAATTAGTTTACTTTCAACAACGTCTTCTTCTTCTTAAAGTTTCACTCCTATAGGAGATTGGAAATCATTTTGGTAATTATAATTTTGTTGGTTACGCGTCTGAATAGTTCAAGTCATACGTGTGGAGGCGATGTGAACTGGCCAACGAGATCGTACGATTTTACCAGGAGACTCTTTCTTGTGAGGATTTGTTAAGTGACAGATCTATGCGAATAATTCACAAACCACAGCAGCGTTCAGAACCTAGAAAATAAGATATTTTGTATGCGTACCACAGAATGAAGCCGCGGAGTACATTTGAACGATGATGTATTCTATACATAATAGAATCTAGAAGTCTTTTAAGTACATAAATCCACTTTGTGTTATTTAACTTTGAAGATGGAAATGCTTAGTTAACGACCACATATAATAAAATAATTAGATTTGTTACTAATATTTTTTAATTTATTTTAAGGGTTACGATGATCCTTATTTAAATTTCCAACGTAAAAATGGATCTGACGCCGGAATCCCTGGACGTCGTCTGTCCGTTAGACGATCCCCGACTACTCAAGAAGAACCTGAAGACGTACTTGAAGAGAACCATCTCGCCGAGGATGTACCAATTGTAAGTAATATCGATATATACCTGAATTGGTCGAATTTTTTATATTGTCATCGTCATCAAAGCGTTAAAATCTCTGGGGATTATTATTATTCTTAGGTGAAGTGGATTGTTCCTTTTTATTATTTATAACTTGTTTTGTGTTTTTGCTGATACAGTGAGTTTTTTCATTTTTTCCCGTCCTTGTATTTAAATTTGTACTCCTAAGAAGCTAATTTCTTCTACATTTATCGCTGAGGATGAGAGAGATGTCAAAACGCGAACAAGTTTTTTTTTTAATTTCTTTATAACTGCACTTCAATCCCGCATTAACTATTTTATGATTATTTTATTAGATACCCGTGGAAACGACTCTGGTGGTTCCAGAAGTCCAAGAAGAAGAACTCAAAGAGCAGAGGCCCCAAATAACTGCCCAGCAAAGGTGGTTATGGGCCTACAACAAAATTATCATGCAGCTGGACGTAAGTAGAATTTTGTTTATTTATTTGAGAACATTTTAAATAATACAAACAACAATTACGATTTACATTCCAATTATAGCGTTTAGAATAGCAGTAGCTATATTTTTACTGAAACTTTATTTCATATACCTTTTATGTTAAGTTAATTTTTTTTACTCTTCTTGCCCTGAATAACTTCTAACTTATTGATGTCAAAAATTTGATTTTTTGTTGGCTTCTCTGTTGTTTTTTCCTATTACTTTACTACTTCACTAACAATTTCTGTTTTGTTGGGTTATAATATTACTGACTAATATCTTGCAGTGCTTACATTAACGTGTATCTTCTTTTCTGCTTATAAAATAGTATATTTGCGAATTAATTTTACCTGAAATGCAATGCACAAGAGGGAGCGAAGAACCAAAGATAACAACAAAAACCTGTGACGATAGCATACCCAAGTATATAGCTTAGAAAAAGAGGCTACCCCACTTGTGACAATGAAACATACTAAAACATATGTCACATCTGCTAGCTGGTTGTTTAAATAGCATTAATATTAGCAATCTAACATACACACTCTAAAAGCCATAGATTATTCAAACAATTAAGTAAGCTACTGTCGCTAATTGGATGAACATGTATATAGTTACCGATGGATAAAAAATATCTTTAAATACTTTAATATTTAAACAACTATTTCCGTAGTAAATTTTTATTATTTCTTATTTCAACGTAATCCATTTAATATATCCATCAATTAACATTTTAGACGAATTGTTTTTATTGTCTTTATTTGGACAACGGAAATAAATGGCAGCATTGAAGGAATTAACATACCAGCAAACGAATGGGAAATATACCTGACGGAACTATTTAAAGGAAAGAAAAATAATAGTCAATACAATAACGTACATAAATTAAATCACGAAATAGAAATTAGTTTTCAGGAAGTAGAGATAGCCATAAATTCACTAAACATAGAAAGTCACCAGGACCAGATGGAATTACCAATGAGCTTCTAAAACACGGAGAAGAAAGTATAACCTTAGAGATGACAAAACTTATACAAAAAATAATATTGCACTGCAAAATACCAGATTCATGGAGAAACAGCATAATGATACCAATGTTTAAGAAAGGAGATAAGGAAGACCCCAACAATAATAAAGGTATACATCTACTAAACACCGCACTTAAGCTTACTACAAAAGTCCAAAATCAATAAACTAACAACTTTGTTAGATGAACAAGAAGGATTCAGATCCGGAAGAATCTGCGTGGTCGCCGTATTTGTACTAAAACAAATCACAGAAGAGGCTATCGAGTACAATAAAACAGAATATTTATGTTTTATAGTCCTGATAAGGGATTTCGATCGCATCCAAATCGAAGACGTCTTACATCTACTGTATAAAAGAAACATACCAAATAACATTATACAAACCATCGAAAACGTCTACTTCCATAACAAATGTAGCCAAAGGTAAATCGAAAACTAACACATTGTATCAGTACAAAGCGGAGTCAGACGGGGGTGACTCGTTAAACCCACTTACCTTTAATATAACAATGGACGAAATAATAAAAGTAGTACGTAAAGATCATGGTTACATAATAGGAAACAAAGAATTCCGAATAATATGTTATGCAGACGACGCTGCATTAATCGCCGAGACAGAAGACGAGTTCCAAAGATTAACACACATCTTCAATACAATAGCCAAGAAATACAATGTGATAATATCAATAGAGAAAATCAAATTTATGCCAATATCTATAAAATTGATGAAAAAATAATACAACATGAAGCAAGGTTTAGATATCTGGAAATAGATATAACCAGTTACGGAAATGTTGAAGAAGAAGTACGACAACAAAGCTTAAAAGCAAGTAAAGCGGCGGGAGTAAACACCTAGGACAAGATACAAAAACAAGAATCTATAAAGCAGCAATGAGACCTATATTAACATACACATTAAGACCTGACACATCTAAAAAGATACCACTACTAGAAACAACAGTGATGAAAATACTTCGACGAATATCAGGCAAAAGTCTGTTGGATAGAGAGAGAAGCAAAAACATAAGAAGAGCGTGCAATATAGAAGACATAAATGGATGTGTGACAAAAGGGAAACATGAGTGGAACGAACGCATAAGTAGAGTGGCAGAGGTTAGAATAGTATGAATAGCACGAGATCAGTCACCAAATGGACGAAAAAGTATTGGCAGACCAAGAAAAAGATGGTGCGATATTAACCGTTTTTTAATATCCTTCCACACATTCTCGATTGGGTTTAAATCTGTACTGTATCTGAGCCATGGTAAGGTTTCGATGTTGTTATTCTGGAGCATCTGGTTTGGTATATTTTGCAGTATGACCAGGACAATTATCTTGTTGGAAAATAAGATTATTTTATGAATACAACTGTTACACTGTAAAATATGATGTTTTCTGGAATATTTAGATAAGTCTGCCCAAAAAACCTGTCATCAATACGCCATACCATTCCCATTCCTGTAGATGAAATACATACCCATACATTGGCGCTAAAATGACCAGCTACTCGATATCTATTAATATATAGAGGATTAAATCTAATATTATCTGGTCTATACACCCCAATTTTGCGCTTTTTAGAAGATTGGAACATTTTCTCATCTGTAAATATTACTCTGTGCCAAAAATCTTGATTGTGTAGCTGATGGTTTAAAGCAAATATAAGTGTTGGTTGCTTTTGTTGTGGTGTACGAGCTTATTTTTTTTTGTTGCAGTTCAGTACCCAAGCCGCGATGCTTTAATTCTACGTTAAGTTGTTGTCTTTCTTTCCGACAACTGTGACATAATTCTTGCAGTTTTCGCATCTTCAAAAGAATTCTCTTCTAATCTCTCCAAAAGCGTACGATCTTCATGAGCGGTAGATATTTTTGGTCTTTCAGAACTTTGCTTTCTTTCAAGAGTTTCTTGTTCTCTCCATGTTTTATTAATATTAAAATCTATTGTTCTGCTAACGTTAAAATGGTTCTCTACGGCAGATAGTGACTAATTATCTTCAATTTCGTTATAATTCTTGCTTTTAGTTTTTTTACCACGTGCTGGCCATTTTTTGAGGTTGAACAGAAAACGTTATCAAACAAATGTTAAGATTTGGCAATGACGGTGACAGTATGTAAATAATAAGTATTTATGTAAAATACACTGCTCAATTTTCTACAAAATACGCTGTAAGTCGTACCAGTTTTTTTAGGAACCAGCTGTACTTTTTTTTTCAAGCTAGGCTGTCATTATCCCTTTTGTATTATTTTACATTATTCTTAAATATCCAATACACAAAACGGATAATTTGTATGGATTCATTCCTAAATACTCTGATATTCTCTAATATTATTTTAACAAATAGAGATTCTATTGGTAGGTATACATCTTCGCTTTCTGAACTAGTGGTGACTAAAATCGTGTTAAGCTTCACTGGAAGGTAATGTTTCCGTAAACTAGCTAATAACATGGAAAATTTTTTAAGTATTTTTAAGTATTTCAGATCTTAAACAACCTATAAACTTACCATACAGTAGGCACTGAAAATACATTGAATTTTATTACAGTTAATATTAAAAAAATTCTATTTTTAAGACTGATGCTACAAAAACGTTTTCAGAGAAAAATGTACTTATCTGATTTTATATAAAATTGAGTTTAGTTTCGGTAAAATAAACTGTTAAACAAATTTAATAACCAAAATACATACGAAAAAATCCCGAAAATTCCCGTCACTACGGAAACAATCCCTAATCATTCCTATTAAAAAAGGCGACCAATTTCTAGACACGCTAAACTCATACAGGCCAATCTCTCTCACCTGTACATTATGTAAACTTCTAGAAAAAAATGGTTAATAAAAGATTACTTTGGTACCTCGAACAAAATAAAATTATAGACCAATTTCAATTAGGCTTCAGATCAAATCGATGCACCTTGGACAATGTTATACTTCTGCAATTAACAATTGCGATTGCGCTATCTAACAAAAATGAAGTCATTGCAATCTCCCTTGACATCGAAAGCCCTTTTAACTCTATACCGATTTCTGTGATACTAAACAAACTAAGCAAGAACAAGCTATCTGGTAATATATATTCGTTTATAAAAAAATTTCTCACAGAGCGATCCTTTAAAGTAATTACTAATGGCAAAACTTTCTCACAACACACAACCACAAATGGTGTCCCACAATGGTCTGTCATAAGCCGTACACTATTTCTCCTTAGTATTAACCATTTTAGTTCATTCATAAACGATCGATCCTGTGCAATACATAATATATGCCGACGACATAATATTATTCTGTGATGGAAAGGTCACATCCAGCACAAATACTTTACTACAAAACACGCTAAGTAAAATAAACAACTGGGCCAGTCAATCCGGCCTTAACTTTTCCTCGTCCATATCCAAAGTTATTCATTTTTACCAATAGACAAAACAAGCAATCTCCAACCATTACTCTGAATGGAAATTTTCTCCAAGTAGTAGACCAAATAAAGATTCTCGGCATTATTTTCGATAAAAAACTTTCCTGGAGACCACACATTCGAGAACTTAAGGATAGCTGCCTTCAAAGAATGAATCTCCTTAAATCACTAGCTCATTATAGTTGGGGAGCCGATGAGGAAACACTACTAAAAATATATCGAGCTCTTATTCGCTCCAAACTTGACTATGGTAGTGTTCTCTACATGTCATCCAGTAAATCACTACTACGTTCACTTAATGTAGTCAAAAATACTTGCCTTCGACTTTATTTAGGAGTATTCCGATCCAGTCCGGTGAAAAGCATTCATGTAGAATGTTTCGAAACTTCGCTTCATCTAAGACGACAATAACCTATACTGCTCTATTTCGGCAAATCCCACAAATCCCACAATAAACCTCATTAATATCGAATTATCCAAATATATTAAGAATTAAATATCACCTTCCATTATCAAACAAAGATTCTATGATATACTACATCAATACAACTTCGATAAGATCCTTTACTCAGACGCATCTAAGACTGAAGAAGGTGTTGGCTGTGCTGTTACAACGACAACAAACACCGTCAGCTTGTT